AATAGAGGTTTTTTCATGTACAATCCTAAGGAATCAAAACTCTATCCTTGTGATTTGTTGATAAACGTAGAATATGCTAATAAAAAGGGAAACTGTTTTCTATAGAAGACAAAAGGTAACGATGATGAGGTGCCAGTATTCAATGTTATTCTTGGAATATAAACTTTGCTTTTTTTTTTTTCTCCCGTTATTATTTCTGCTTTTATATTATACTTAACTAATTTTGTTATTTTTAATCTTGTGCCTCTACAGAGACCGTCTGATATACTCAAAGTTCTTATCAACATTACTATAGCATTTATTTTTAATTTTTATTCGTGGGGTGGAAGAGCTTCTCTGATATTATTTAAAAATTCTATTGGAAAATTAATATTTATGTTATCCTATGTTTTATCAACTCCTTTGTGAGTCATGTATTCTGCTGTTGTAAACTTATTTTCAGCCTGCATTGATAAATACACGAGTAATGTTGTTATTTTGTCTACTCAATCTGTAAGTGAGGGATGGCGCGCGGAGCGCACAGGTGGGTGAAGTGACAATCACGTATATGTAAGGGTTATTATGAGGACAAAAGGGAATTATGTGGACGTCCGCATAATCCTACCATATTATATATGTATTAGCCTCTCCACCACTCTCTTCAGCTACCCTCTAAATAAGGTAAAATGAGAAACCGAATAACACAATAAGCCTCCCTTACAATTCAAGAGAACTNATGAATGTATGTTCACGAGGTGTAAGTTATCAACTCAGAAGTTGGAAAATTAAAAAATACATGTTAAGTTCATATTATGATAATGGCTACGTTTAAATTTCCTTGGGTAAGATGGTTTTTTTATTTTATGATAATTTTCTAAGATCATAGAACGCTTCTATTTTTCTATGAAGCTGTAATGCATTACTATGTTCTTAGATAACAAACAATTAAGAAAAACTTATGGGTTCTTAGTAAAAAAAAAAATAGGATTTTGAAAGATTCTCAAATCAGCTTTAATCAATGTAATTTAAAAAAATTAATAATATATTTAAGAATTTGAGGATATGTAAATTATGATTAGCTTAAAACCATAACAGTTATTATTTTAGCGAGATAAATTGAAATATGAAGAAGAAAAAAGAAAAATCAGATCACATCTTGGCAGTCCAACATCTAATTTTTCCTTTTCATCTTGAATTCTCAATTGATCTTGAAAAGAGTGAGAAATATATGTTTACTTTTTTTTTCGATAAAATAGCTAATTGTTACATAAATGATGTCATAAGCTTGTAAAATTATAGTAACCTTATCTGTAAAGTAGGAAACTTTGACTGTCTCTGGACTGCCCTTCATGTTTGGGAAATTAAAAATGTTCTAGTGAAAAATAGAAATTTTCAAACAGTGTAAACGAATTTCTTTTACATTCATCTTTTGAAGTATCTGGACATCTCAGGTGTCAATAAATTGTTTTATTAGCTGAACAAAGAAAAAAATGTTAGGTAAAGTATTGGGTATTTCATTTGTGAATCTAACTTTTTTCGTAATCCATTTTAAGTAATTGAATCTCGTTTTATTTTTGAGTCAAGAACATCTTGTACTGCTTCGTACTTTCTAGGATTAGTTTCATAAATTCTACAATATTTTCATTAAAGCAATCACCTTTGATTTAAAACTTTCTAAATTTTGTGGAGTTATTTAAGATGGCTTGGGCGGTTGACACCATACCTTGGGTAGGGTGCTATAAGGGCCCCTAAACAATCAACGCTGTTCGACGGTATATTTTTCAATAAATATAGTTATTTTGATAAAACCAAAGCCCAAGAACAAGAAATTTCCAGGAAAGTACCGTGAAATTATAATTGTAAAAATTGGAAGATGTTGCGATGCAAGCCAGATTAAAATTTCATACTTTTCTTCAGATTTTCTCTCAAGTTAAGTCATTGACTCTAAATTTTTAAGAATTTAATAGATTGTTTGTAAAAAAAATACACCAGAACTATTTTTAATTTCTTAGGTTACCCAAAGATATCTGAAGATATAGTCAATTTTGTGAGTACTGTCCATAAGAATAAGTGATAAATTGGTGAACTTTTAGTAATTTTCAGTAGCAATTGCGGAAAAATTAAGTCGTTGACCAAAGTATTTTCTTAGCGCGAATGAATTTGACATACTTTATTCATTTAATTCTGGAGGTTTTGATCAAGCCGATAAAAATTTTTTTAATTAATGTAACGAAATAAAACTCTGCATCACATAATTATGATAATAAAAAATGCTATCAATAAGTATTAATAGATTTCAAGCAGAAAAATAATAGTGACTAAGAAAAAACGTGTTCAAGATATAAAAAAAATATATGTGATTAAGTTCACAAGAAACCAATTTACTTATGGTACAGTTAATTTTAAAGTATTGTAATGTCATTTTACACTATAGTTACGATGCAAATTTAATCATGAAACCTTTGATCTTATTTTAGATAAAAAACAAAGTTGTATAATCGTTATGGGTAGGTGCCATGTTCCTAAATTATTAGTTGGAAGCAACGTCTAATGATGGTACTGTCATACTTTTGTATTTATTTAAAAACAAAAAGAACGTTTCAACCGTTTGGACAATGTCCCAGCCCTCATTAAGTACAAAAAGCTATGAGCAATAAAAATAGTCCTAACACTCCAAATTTTAATGATACATAACAAACGAAAGTTAAAATGAGTGTATAAGATACCTCTGGCTCTTACAAAAAGAATGTAAAATCGTAATGTAGTCAGAGTTACAAGTTTAGCTGCTTATATACTCCATGTATACACAATTGACGTAGTACAAGCATGCAATACAATTATATAAGAATCGCAAGCAGTTCCTTGTAATAAGTATATAAACAGTATATATGTTTTTAACACTATGAATAAAAGAGGCCCGCCAAATCATCTACATCAAGTTAATCCTTTTTCCTAATTGCCTTAACAAGAAACTTACACCAATTTTTCAGTTTCTCTCTATCTTGTTCTCTGTTATTATTATTATTACAGTAATGTATATTTATCATTTCCGAACAAAGGCATTTTCTGTAATTTTGTTCATTGTCTAAAATTTTTATTTCATCAAAATTGAAGTTACGTGCAAATTCGATGCTATGTCATTCTTGATTTTAGAGCTCTATGTGCGCACCTTACAAGAAACTGCTTGCGATTCTAATTTGATTGTATTGCGTGCGTGTTCTATGTCATATGTTTATGTGTGGAGTATAAAAGCAGCCAAACTTAAAACTCTGACTGCATAACGATTTTACATCCCTTTTGTAAGGGTTAGAGGTACGTTACACACTCAACTTAATTTGCGTTTATTGTATTTTATTCAAATTCTTATAGTAAAAAATGTTTTATTACTCATGGTTTTTGTACCTGATGAGGGCTTGGGCGTCACGTCGTCCAAATGGCTAAAACATAACTTTTTTTTTTTTTTTTTAATAAACGCAAAAATATGACAGTACCAGCATTGGACGCTGTTTTCTATTATCAACCAACTGTTATTGGACGTCTTTTTTAATAAAAATATTAATGTTTACGATGACCTAAAACTGAATTCTTACTATATTATAGTCTCAATGTCATAGATTTAAGCACTGTTAGAAAACTAAAAAACTTTTACAAAAGTTGAGTGCTGTAAAAATGGCTGTCCTAAAATCTGATACATCCGTGGAAAATGCTTTCTTGCAACTGAACTTTATATTCTACAAGTGTTCAGGGTACTAAAGAAGTTTTACTATCACCATAGATAAGTACTATAGCCTCATAAACTTTTAAAGTTTGTCTCCTCAAAATAAAAACTCCAAAGCAGCCATTGACACTGTTGACGATGTATGTTCAACAGTGTGCACAATGAATGTTCAACAATGAATGTATGTTCACGAGGTGTAAGTTATCAACTCAGAAGTTGGAAAATTAAAAAATACATGTTAAGTTCATATTATGATAATGGCTACGTTTAAATTTCCTTGGGTAAGATGGTTTTTTTATTTTATGATAATTTTCTAAGATCATAGAACGCTNGGAGATAGTTATTCTTTATCTAGCCTGCCAATCACAAGTAGCAATATACATGCATATGATATACACCAAGCACTTTTTCGCAAGCATGAACTTTTGTCAAATATCTGCTTCAGAGTGCGCAGTTTCTACATCGACTTGGAGCAAATAAAATAACTCTGCAGTTCAGAAAAATTAAGTACAAAAGTTTCGTATAGACATTTCTACGTTATAAAATTATTTATAGTCTAGCACATCACCACATGTCATATATTTGTATTGAATTTAAGTAAGAGATATTACATTAAATAATTTTAGAAGTAAGAATTTAACATTTTTCAATAATCTCTTAAAGAAAAATAAGATATTGATATTTTGAAATGTTGTAAAGAATCAATAAGGAATATAACATATGTTGAATTTAATAAAAAATGGTTCTTGATACACTAATCTTAGCCAGTCCCAAAGAAACAAATATTTTCTCTAACGTCACCAAATATTACAAGCACAGGAATAGCAATTAAAAGCAAAAGTTGTAGCTAGTGTAAGTTTGTAATCATAGAATAAATTTGGGGACTTAAATTCAAAATTATATCAAAGATCGTGTTATTTTCTGAAGCAAAATCCGTAAAAAATCATCGATTTGTTGTCAAGACACTCTTGTCAAACGCATTTTATTGGTATTGTCTTCATAATAAGACCTACTTATTGTGTTGCATATTGTCTTGAAATTCAAGACAATTCATAACTCTCGTAAAATCCTAGTAATTTAGAGAAGCAAATAAGATTTGTGTCACGTTATCTCTTTTGAACTCACCACCTGATAATAAATATGATTATTTAAAAGATATGTTTGTCTGTACTTAGATACTGTACCTACAGAATACTTATAACCAATTTTCTAATAAGCTACTACAGGTGTTCTTTATTTGCTATTTATTTCTGTAAAAATATTAAAATGATTCAATTCATTTAAATAAATATATTTTTTACAGGACCACGAACAAGACGAATTAAACGCATGAATAACGATAAAAATTTGAGTGTAGCAGAGGAAAAACGACCACGAACTGCGTTTAGTGCTGAACAACTAACGAGGTTACGGCATGAATTTACAGAAAATCGATATCTGACTGAGCCTCGTCGTCAAAAGTTATCCAAAGAGCTGGGACTTCATGAGCAGCAAATCAAAATTTGGTTTCAAAATAAAAGAGCTAAAATAAAAAAAGCTACTGGTCAAAAAAATCCACTAGCACTTCAGCTGATGGCTCAAGGCCTCTACAATCACTCAACAGTTCCAGTGGACGAAGATGGTGATGAAATGTCTACAAGTCTTTAATAGATAAAAATAGTACTTCAGTGTGGTAAATAAAGTTCAAATATAAAAAAATGGTTTAAAAGATTTATTACAATGATTAAAATTGCAATGAATGGACGTGCTAAGATTTTTTAAACAAATCTAATCAAAAAGGGATAGTACTTGCAACCGATAACTTGTTAAAAGACGAACCTTTAAAATATAATGCTGAAAATTGCATATTAAATTAATTATCTATTATAATTGTGCTTGGAGTTAACACTAGTATAAAATACATTCATATAAAAATCTTACAAACTTGTCAGGGGTACTTTTTACAGAACTGCGGAAGCAACAGTTTGTCGCAAATTCTATTTTCAAACCTTTTGTTAATTCTAAAATTGATTGTGGAAAAATCTGTAATTATAAGTACTCATAGATAATGGATTATACGAGCATATTACATGAAAGCCAATTTAAAAATTTTATGATATTTATTTTTTAATAAACCTAAAATTGTATACCTCATTGATTGTTACAGTCAAGAAATTTTCAATGCAATAATTTTTCAAATACTCTTGATGAAGCAGTCGTACTCAAGAACTGCTTATTTGTTTTTTTCGATGTAAATATCTGTATATAAAGAATAAATAAGTGCATATGTAAGATAATGCTATTTGTGGCATTTTACGTACAAACATGTAAGAATGAAAGTTATTATGCGTACCATTATAAGTATTAAATAATAATTCACCTAAAGATGATTTTTAATACTTTATACATTTATATAATTTTAAAGAAAAGAAGCAGCGTAATACTTTGTGTTTACACTATAAAAGATACAGCAAATGACAAAAGTGACGATTTGGTATTTTTTAAAAGTAACGATCCATAAGAATTTTAAGCACTCACAAATCTATGGAAAAAGGAAATATTCAGCTTCTTGGAGATTAGATATTCCATGTCACTATGCAAATAAGTCATCTGTTTTTATCTTTAGTAGTAGTAAACGCTGACTGTACAGTAATTATAATAGCAAAGGCTGTTAACAAATCGTTATTCGGAAATGCCATTCCACATTCTCTTTTATCGAATAATTTTTAAAAGTAAGAAGTAAGTGAGTAATTCTTATACTGTATAGAATACTTTTTAATTGATCTCGTCATATTGTAACTGTGTGAGTAGGTGTACTTAAAAAAATAAAAAATTTAAAGTAATTTTTGTTTTGTTTTTTTTTTACTATTTGCAGATTTTTTAACGAAGAATTATTGTTTTAATACTATTATGCACTATCCTATGTTAAAAAAATCAATGATTTAAAATTTAACAGGAAATTATGGTCGAGCTTACTAATTTTTTTTTGTATCTTGAAATTAAAAAACACATTATTCGAAAATGTAAATAATCTACAAACTTGTACTTGCTGTTTTTAGTATTCGCTCGAAGCCGATACAAAGGCCCTACTCTCTAAAGCAACAAATTGACAAAAGTTAGTAAAAAATAAGTGGTACCGAGAGAGGAGATAGTTATTCTTTATCTAGCCTGCCAATCACAAGTAGCAATATACATGCATATGATATACACCAAGCACTTTTTCGCAAGCATGAACTTTTGTCAAATATCTGCTTCAGAGTGCGCAGTTTCTACATCGACTTGGAGCAAATAAAATAACTCTGCAGTTCAGAAAAATTAAGTACAAAAGTTTCGTATAGACATTTCTACGTTATAAAATTATTTATAGTCTAGCACATCACCACTCCCGTACCTTTTCAGATACAAAAATTAAAAAAAAAAAAATTTAACGTCAGTGACAATAGGGTCAAAGCAAAACATAATATTAATTATAAAAAATCATAATTGAAATAATATATATCTGTTAGAAGAATTAATTCATAGTGTCACGGACGTGACTTGGTTCAGTCAAGCCAGCGCCCGTATGTTGGCAAACCAGCGTACAACTAACGACGCAATAAGAGTGCACTTTAAGAGTCCAATTAATACAGTCCCGTCCGGCCGCGGTCGTGGCTAAGTAGTCAGCGTAAAGTTTCGCGAATCCTTAATTAATGGATTCAAGCCCCTGCTTCACTTTTTTGGTGAAGCACTTTACTACAATAATTTGGACTCTTTAATCCATTTATTTAAGAAAACGGAATCACCTACTCCCCATCTACACAAGAATCCCCGAAGCTTGTTCCGTAACAATAGATAAAGAAATCATTTAGTAGCTATAAAAAGTACTTGGATGAGGAATAAGTGTTTTTTGACTCAATGATTGTGTTTGCAACAACGTTTTTAGATCTTATACAACCTGGTGGTTAAAATAGTAACCGTAGCAGGAAATAATGTAACATACATTTTATTGCACTCAGTATCGTTACAACAAATAGACTATAACAAAGTACTATAATAAGGTAATATAGTAGGAACAATAACACATTGGCATGGACCGAGGCTCTTGTAATTTAAGGACTTGGTAACAGATGCGTACGAGTTTGAGACTCATCCTTTACTGACTTGGCTCACACCTCTGAAAAACTAATTTATCATGTATGTATTGGCAATTGGGATCCAATGGTTCAGAAGCCATGTAAAATAAGATGTTCCCATAAGTGGTAACTGAAAATAAATCTGTTAGAGTTTGTTAATATGTATCTTGTAGATGTACTAACACTATTTTGCAGCTGCCGCCACCGATATCATCTCCAAGAGCAAACCCATTCGCGCAATTTAAATTATAGTTACCACATGCTGTTCAACTTTGGTCAACTTCCTGAAGACTAGAGCCAAAACCCCAATACCTCCCACTTATTGTAATATTTTTGAGGATGGACAAAGTCAACTAAATGAAGCCAAAGCTCAATGACAACCTTCTCATAACTTATCTGGATGAATAATAACGGTGGTTATTTGCCTGCATCATAAAATAGTGGCTTTACCCTGTACTTAATTGTTAAGATTAAAGATTTTAAATTAAGTGTATAATAAATATAAAGTCATACTTCTTAAGCAGTAAAAAACTGCACAGCATTTTATAAAGATACTGCGGGTTGAGAAGAAAATTCAATTTTCAGCTGCTGCGATTTAATTAAATAATTCAAATGTATCCATCTATTCACAAACAACGATTCACGTTTGATCATTTACAGATAATAGTACTACGAGTTTGTATAAGAAAGTACGAAAAACTTTGCTACACCTACTATACAAATACAAATAAGTACTAAATCAAACGACAAAATAACAAAAGAAATTCGAGATAATCTCTTGTGGAACTTAGATAGAGGTAAGCTGAGCACTCCTGATGAAATAAGGCGAGACTACCAAATTATTGACATTCATTGAAAAAATGTTGATAGATTATTTAAATGTAGCCAAATATAGGTCACATTGTTCACGTACATTTTAAAAACAATTATATGATGTTAAGTAGTAACCACAAACAGTATCAGCCTCTTCTTTTCGAGGCTAAACAGTTGCCACAATGTAAAAAAGTGCAATGAATTCATTGGCGCAAAGCTAGAAAACGTCTAAAAACATACTTTTTAATAAGATTTTTTATTTTTATATACTATTATTTTACATGTACTATATTATTATTCTGTTACTTTAACAATCAAAAAAAAATTTTATGGTGTACATCCAAGAATTCTTTTCTTAGAAGTAATAAGAATCCTGGAAAAAAGGCCTGTGTTCAATCAAAACCAGTAAGAAAACTCTGAGACTTGGTTGTATATTCATAACACCCTAATGCAAACCCATAAATATATATATAGGCATGTATTATACATATGTACATACATATGTATAGTGTCATGAACGTAGCTTGGTTCAGCCAATCCAGCGTGCGTGTGCGTGTTCGCATACCAATGGAAAACTAACGATACAATAGAGTTCACCTAAGAGTGCAATTAATACAGTCGCGCCTGGCAGAGCGTGGCGGTGGTCATGGCTGAGCAGTAAGCATAAAGTTCCGCAAATCCTTAGCTGACGGGTTCGAGCCCCTGCGATGCCTTTGTGGTGGACCATTTCGTCACAATATTTCAGACTCTTTAATCCATTTGTTTAATAAAGGTAGATATATATTAGGGTGTTATGTATATATACTAGGTGTTTAAAAAGTAACCAGAATTTTTAAAATTCGCGGGTTTGAAGAGTCCGCCTGCATAAAATTGTTTTTTTACTATGTTGGTACACATGCCCCTGAAGTACGATAAAATTTTCAGCAATATTTATTGCTCACTTTTTAAGTGGCAGCCGCTAAAGTTAGACGTATTTTTCGAGCTCGGCGATTTTCGTTTGTGAAAAAAAATGGATCAAAGAATTTGTATTCAATTTTGCATAAAAAATGAAATAAAGTGTAGTGAAGTTTGTAAAATGTTAACAAAGGCATATGGTAAGTCTGCTATCAGTAAAGCAAGGATTTACGAGTGGTATAAGCATTTTCAAGATGGCTGCAAAAACGTTGAAGATGACGAACGACCCGGATGCCCAACTTGTGTGGGGATTGGCGCTTGCGTTATTTTATTTATCATAATAATCAACAAAGCAGCTAGTAAGCGCCCCGGGTTGTGTGGGGATTGGCGCTTGTGTTATTTTATTTATTTAATTAATAAACAAAGCAACCAAAAAGTGCCCCGAATTGTGTGGGGATTGACGATTGTGTTATTTTATTTATTTAATTAATAAAAAAAACGNAAGCACCTAGTAAGCGCCCCAGGTTGTGTGGGGATTGGCGCTTGTGTTATTTTAATTATTTAATTAATAAACAAATCGGCTAGTAAGTCAACAACCGATGAAAACGTAAAAAAAGTGGCATAGTGCATCATGAATTCTTGCCACAAGGCCAAACAATCAATGAGGAGTACTATCTACAAGTTCAACACCGTTTGCGTGAAGCAATCCGAAAAAACGCCCAGATTTGTGGCAAAACAATTCATGGCTCTTACACCATGATAATGCACCTGCTCACAATTAATTGCTTGTTCGTGAATGTTTGGCCAAAAACAAAATTGTTACGATGCCTCAGCCTCCAAATTCACTAGATACGGCTCCATGTGACTTTTTTCTATTTCAAAAAACAAAGAGAACATTAAAAGGCCATCATTTTACAAGCATAGATGACATTAAAAGCGAATCGCTGAAAGAGCTAAAAGCTATTACAAAGATCGAGTTTCAAAAGTGTTTTGAGGATTGGAAAAAGCGTTGGCACAAGTGTATTATATCCGAGGGGGATTATTTTGAAGGGGAAAAAATAGATATTGATGAATAAACAAATATTTTTTCCACAAAACGAAAATTCTCCTTATTTTTTGAACATACCTCGCATATCTTAGGGTAAACGTTAATTTTTTTTAATTTTTTTTTTCCATTAGGCCTAGTAAAAATCAATTCTAAGTACCTAATAACGGATGCAGAATTAGTAAAGCTTACAATGCAAAGTTTTTATCACGTGCTGCAAAGCCCCAGAAGTTTTTTATCAGATTTGTGTGTAAGAAATCACTAAAATTCTTTATGATATAGAAAAACTATCAAAATGGTCGAATCTCATGACTAAAA